ATTCCCGGCCCGCAGCAGACGCCGCTGAGGGATCGCGAGGCCACCAACGAGAGAGATGAATCCATCAACCCGTATGAAGCACTCACATGTTCCAATCACCACCGACCTAGTAGACTAACGGCCATGACAGCTCACAATACAAGAACTTGAGCGACGAGGTGGCAACTCTGCGAGAGCAGGTCGCCAGCCTAACCTCGTCCCTCCGAGAGCTCACCGGAAAGATTACGCAGATCAACACCCGGTCGCCCGCGGCCCTCGGCGGACCACAGCATCCGAGTCCTCTGTACACGAGCGAATCCAACCGGAGGCCTAGCGAACCGAGAGAACCGCAGTTCGTCGGCCCAACCAGGTCAGCCTTCAGCCTTCGCATCGCCGAGTCCTCGCTCTCCCGCGTGCACATCCAGACGCGCGATGCGTCGCCGACGAGCAGATCCGCATCGCCGGCCGCCTCTGCGAGGGCGGTATCCGAAACCTCAGACCACCCTGCCTCACATCCGGCATCGCAAAAGGACCTGGATTGTCTTCTGACGTTTGAGGCTGACGAGGTTTTTCGGCTCCTTGACGTCTATCAGGATGACGTTGAGTCTGTGTATCCATTTACCAATATGAACGATGTCTCTGCCAACTTGCCGCATATCCTTGACTTTGTTAGGATCCAGCAGAACCCGAAGGCGGGCGCAGATTCGACCGCTGCCGGGGATCGACCCAAGATTGAACTCAAGGATGTCCAGATTGTCAAAGTAGCGATTGCCACCTCTATAGTGATGGAGGCTCAAGGGCAGAATGCCATAAGCACGAAGCTGGTAGATGCGGTGGAGCCGATCGTGTGCCGTGTGTCTGGCGAAGCCTTTATCGACCTGAAAGAGCTTCAGATTATGACTATGCTGGTAAGTGCCGCGTCTCTTGTGACCTGGTATAGGTGGCCACTGAGGCCCTCGGGCCTTTGCTAACTCAACATCCAGAGTATATACTGGTTCCACTGCGGCGAGGAGTTGCTGGCATGGAGATCAATCGGCATCTCTGGACGAGAAGTATTGGAAATTGGTCTTCATCGTCGCGCGATCCTCCTCGAGAACTTCAAGGATCCCAAGGAGAGAGACTTGGCTTTGCGTTGCTTTTGGTGTGTGTATGTACTAGATCGCCGATGGAGCTTCGGCACGAGTCTGTCTTTCGGGCTCATCGATCGGGACATCGATCCTGAGTTGCCAGAGCCGGTAAGTTCCTCCACTATTTGATCAACCTTTCTTGGAGACAAAAGTACTGATTACGGCTGATCAAGGGAGACGAGTATCCTTATCTGAGATGCATGGTTGCCTATGGCAGGCTTTGTTCGAAGGTCTGGGAGGCATTGCCGCCCTTCGAGTCACCATCGCAGTTCATTCCCAAGGATACAGTGGCGTTCCTCGACTTCATGACACTGAACTGGCTCAACTCGATACCGGAAGATTTGCAGCTTCGGCATCCAAGGCTAGGTCTTGCTCCCAGGATCCAACCCCGCAGCGTGCATCGCCTCCGTACTCTACTCTACTTGCGAGGGAACCACATGCGCACGCTCATCCATCGCCACCACGTGCTGAGCACCGCTAGTATCAAAGCAGATATGCAGAGCGCAAAGCTTGTCACCGAAATCGCCCTCGACACGATACAAGTACTTGTCCACTTGAACGAGACGAGCGATATCTATGCGCGGCAGCAGCACGCTTTCAACTACTTCTTGATGAGCGCCTTGGCGGTGATCCTCCTGGCTGTGTGTCACGCACCGGGTGTCTTTACTGAACCTTGCAAGGAGAAGTTTTTGAAAGCTGTACAGCTGGTGAAGGGGTTCTCCCGTCACGGGCATGCCAGTCGGAGGCTGTGGAAGACGATCCGAGGGCTCATGCCGAGCATCAAGTCGTTGGGCCTGCGCAGTGACCCTGAGAAGGGCGATGTAACCCAGCTAGCCGACAATGGGGAGACAGATCCGAATGAGAGCCATGTCAACGGATCGGAGCAGACTGCGGGCCAAAGCGAGCGCGATGGGAGGCGCACGGAGGCAACGTGGGATGCGTATGAGGCTGGTCCGCCGACAGCAAGCTCTATGCCGGACATGTTCAACATGGGCAATGACCTCATGAACCTCTTCGATGCTTTCGGGCAAGCGAATTCTGGGCACCCGGCACCTTCAGACTTTCCTGTCGGCTTCTTCGGAGGGAATGATCAGGGGATGTCACTTGGAGATCCGGAAGAGATTTCACGGAGGTTTCAGGGACTAATTTGACACGCAATCATGAGAGACCCAAGTTTCCATCGATTTCCGTCTTTTTAAATTCCAACTATTCCTTCTCACATATTTTTAAACTACAACTTCCGTGTGAATGGAGACACCAGTCACAACGTTATCAACCGCGGGAACCTCGAACTTCTTCCGCCCAAATGAGATGTAGTAGACCACGCCAAAGGTCAGCCACCCAGCCATCACAACAATCGAATAGTTCATGTTCTGCGGAGTAACGGGCATCGCCGAGGGGAAGGTGCTGAAGATGATCACCACAGTCATCCAGATCAAGCTGATGACGTTCAAGATGGGGCCCAGGACGGGACCAAGCTTGAAGGGGCCGTAGTCCGAACGGTTCAGGTTCTTCCTGCCGTGCACCAGCATATACACGATGGGGATGATGTAGCTCAGGTACATTCCGATGATAGCCATGGACAGAATGGCGTTGAAGGCGGTCGTGTTGCCGAGGTAAATGAAACCGAGCAGCATCTGGAGAACCGTGACGAGAACGACAGAGTGAACGGGGATCTGCTGGCGCTTGTTGACCTTGCTGAGGTAGTGGTCGTACGGCGTGGCCTTGTCTCGGGCGAAAGCCCACAGTGTCCGCGAGGTGGATGTGATGCCGGCGACGGTGGCGGCGACGGCGGTGAGGATGATCATGAGGGACATGAAGGTCGCGCCGCCGTAGGACTTTGTCACGTCCATGAAGATTTGCATAAAGGGGAACCCTGTCGGGGTCGAGAGGAGGGCTTCGAGGGGGCCGGTGCAGAAGAGGAGGACGGTGCCGTAGACGAGGCCCATGATGCCGTTGACGACGACGCTGCCGACCATGGCAATAGGGACGTTGCGGCTGGCGTTGGGCATTTCCTCGGCCAAGTGGCAGGCGGCGTCGTAGCTGTGTAGATGTGTTAGCGCTTGTAGAGCGGTATGAGGGGGTGGTGAGCGTACCCGAGGAAGGGGTAGACGGCGCTGATGAGTCCGACAAGCCATGAGACGCCGTCACTCTCCCAACCACTGGAGTTGACGAATTCTGTGAACACGAACGAGGCTGAGTTCTTGGGTGCCATGACGCCCAGCACGATCAAGATGGAGAGGAAACCGACGACGTGGAGGACACCTGGAGTTGTTAGTAGTGGTCCTTGTTTTCGGAGCCAAGAGTATCGAATTGCTTACCGGACAACAGATTGGCGGTGGGGAGAAGTCTGTGACCCCAGATATTCATAACCATTCCATACACCAAGATCGCCCAGTAGAACAGCATTCCCTGCCATCTTTGTGGGATATATGAATCATCATTGAGGATAATGAGGGCCTGGGTCTGGAGACCGGCTGCGAAGGCGGCCGAGGAAGTCAGAACAACCTGGCCACCCACGGAAATCCATCCGGTTGTGAACGCGGCTGCTGATCGAGTCGATGGTGGGCACAGTGCGGCGACCCAATGGTATTGACCTTTAGAAGGAAAAGAATTAGTCTCTAGCTTCATGCAATTGCACTTCATCGTCTTGTTGAGTTGAGACCCAGATCGAACATCTTCGTAACAAAGACTTTTTAGCATTCAAGGAAAAATCTTACCTCCAGCAGTCGGATAAATTGAAGCGATTTCTCCGAGCGATGAGGCGATGCAAACAGTGCAAATTGTGGAAATGATGCTTTTCACGATGTTAGTCTTCAGGCTCTCGCCTAAGTGATGTCGCCAAGAGTCCCCAGTTTCTGTCATAACTTACAGGTTGTAGAACAAACAAGGTGCGCCCCCGCTAACTAAAGCTGGCGCAACGACTGTTGACAATGCCTCCCATGTTGCCATGAGACAGAGACACAGAGCTCCCAGAGCCGGCAGCGAGAATTGTCTCTTCAACTCCTGCGTGTGCCCGAGTTGGGCGAGGCGCAGGTCGTCGCCATTGACAACGTCGGTCTGTGACTGGGATTCGATTCTTCCTAGAGTCGCGGCGGTATCTTTCTTCATGTCGTTGTCCATGATTAACAGAAACTGTGAAGTCATTTACTATGTCGTCGTACGATCCTACTGAGTTGACCCCTGTGTATCGGGCGATTCTCGAGTTATGTACGCCATGGCTATTACATACAAAGACGGTCCCGTTGTCTCTTTGATCTTATCACCGAAGGGACTGTCAAATCTTTCAACCAAAAACAAGCCTCGAAACATGGCTGCAGTGCCGCGAGTTCCCCCAAAATGGAGACGATATCCTGTACCGGCGATACCGCAGCAGCTTCCTGGTCTACCTTATCTTCAGCGCGAGGTCCAATCATCAGCAATGTTATAATCAGTGACCAATCACAAGAGCCTCTAGCAAGCTTCAAGGCTGGAATCTTCAATACACTAGCTTCTGTCAATGGCTTATCTAGGCCGGGGTTGAAGATAAGAGAGCGATGGAGGCGTTGTCTTGACTCGGTGGCGTTCCGTCTTTCCGAGTCCTTTCCGCGTTGAACACTAAAGCAAGGGCTCGGAAAGTCTTCCGAGGGCATTAAGCAGACAAAGCATCTCGTCTCATTTAATGGGCCAGACTTTCGACGTAACATCTGTCCATCTCTATCACAGCATCACTATCAGCAAAACCAATTGAGAGCCTCTTATAGGTGGTTCCGAAAGTTGTCTGAATTCTTCATAAAGACACAATCTTGCTCAGTCTCGACAAACACCCTGTCAACCACTTCCGGCCACACACCTCTTCAGCACCCCTCCCCTCCCTTGTTCCGACCTTCCCTACTCGACCTCCTCTCTCCTACAATGGCACCCATTCCGCACCCCTTGTCCGCCCTGTCTCCGGAAGAGACCAACCGGGCGCGAGACATTGTTCTTGCAGCGCACGGCGGATCAGTCCTGGACTTCAGAGTGATTTACCTGTGGGAGCCGCCAAAAGCAGATGTGACCAAGTTCCTGGAGCTCGAGCACTCTGGTAAACTCACAGCCTCCTCACCGAGACCAGCGAGATGCGCACAAGCCTTTTACGATGTCATTGGCGGCGCCAGCAAAGCCCAGTATACCGAGTCGATTGTAGACTTGGGCCTGGGAAAGATCGTTGACCAGAAGGTCATTGGTTCCGAGCACCAAGCAAGTCTGACTGTGTACGTCTAGCCCTTAAACACCCCTACCTGGACCCCAGATTTCCCTTGAGTTCTGCAGCGCTAACATGCATATGTGCTAAGCTATGAGTTCGAGACCCTCGCTCAAGCTGTCGAGCGTTCCCCGCTCTTCAAGGAGAAGATCGCGGAGCTCCAGCTGCCAGAGGGCTTCGAGGTCGTTGTCGAACCGTGGCCCTATGGCGCACCCGATGCCGCGGACGGAGACAGCCGCTTCTTCCAGGCCCTAATCTTCGCCCGTGACACGAGGAGCGGCAACCCGGACTCCAACTTCTACGCCTACCCCCTGCCCCTCATCCCCGTCATGAATGCGCACACCAAGGAGATTGTGCGCATCGATGAGCTGGCTACCGGTGGTAAGGGCGACGCCCTCCAGGGCAAGACACATAAGCCCACCATTGTCGACCACTGCCAGGAGAGCGAGTACGTCCCTGAGCTGTTGCCCAACGGCACGCGCAAGGACTTGAAGCCCTTGACTGTTGTTCAGCCCGAGGGTCCTAGTTTCTCCATCACGGATGGCAACCTCATTGAGTGGCAGAAATGGCGCATGCGTGTTACCTTTAACCCTCGTGAGGGTGCTGTTGTTCACGATGTTCGCTATGATGGACGTCCGGTTATGTACCGTCTCAGCATGAGCGACATGGTATGTTGCTACAATATTTGTACTTGATTTTGGTTCAAGAGCTTTCACTAACATGACCTGTGCTCCAGACTGTACCTTATGCTGATCCTCGCCCACCTTTCCACCGCAAGCAAGCCTTTGACTTTGGTGATGGTGGTCTTGGCAATGCAGTCAACAACTTGACCCTTGGCTGTGACTGCCTTGGTGTCATCAAGGTATGTCTCAATGCTTAATACTCTCAGTCATGGAAGCCTACTTACACAAGTGAATAGTACTTTGATGGTGTTCTCACCGACGCCAAGGGAAGTGCCGTCGAGACCAAGAACGTCATCTGCCTTCACGAGCAGGACAACGGTATCAACTGGAAGCACACCAACTGGCGCACCGGCCGTGCCGTCGTCACCCGCCGCCGTGAGCTCGTCATCCAGTTCATCATCACTCTCGCCAACTACGAGTACATCTTCAACTTCAAGTTCGACCAAGCGGCCGGCATCGTCGTCGAAGCCCGTGCCACGGGTATTGTCTCCGTCGTCAACATTGATCCCGGCAAGACCGCCCCCTGGGGCAACGTCGTCAGCCCGGGCGCCCTGGCGCAGAACCACCAGCACGTCTTCTGCGTGCGCATCGACCCCTCCGTCGACGGCAACGAGAACACGGTCGTGCAAGAGGAGAGTCTGCCGCTCAAGATGGACCAGCGGACGAACCCCAACGGCAACCTGTACGAGGTCAGGCAGACGCCGATCACGACGTCGGCGGGCTTCGATGCCGCCCCGATGAACAACCGCGTCTTCAAGATCCAGAACCTCAGCAAGCCGAACCCCATCAGCGGCAAGCCCGTCGGATACAAGATCACGCCGCCGGCGACGCAGCTTCTGCTCGCCGACCCCAACAGCGTGCAGTCCAAGCGTGCGCTGTTCGCGCGCCACCACCTCTGGGTTACCAAGTACAAGGACCACGAGCTATTTGCAGGCGGTCGGTATACCCTGCAGAGCAAGCTCGAAGTTGGAGGTGTCAGCGATGCTGCTGACAGGAACGAGGACGTCCTGAACCAGGATGTTGTCGTCTGGAGCGTGTTTGGTCTGACGCACAACCCTCGTATCGAGGATTGGCCTGTCATGTGAGTATTTCCCTTGATTGACAGCTCTTCTGTGAGCTCTTCTGTGATTACAGATTGACTAATAATGATTTTAGGCCCGTCGAGATGCTGCAATTGCACATTACCCCCTCTGATTTCTTCACTGGAAACCCTGCGCTCGATGTGCCTTCAAACAAGGACATTGGCTCTCAATTGACTTCGGGCAACCAGAGCTGTTGTGCTGAGAAGGAGGCCCCTATTAAGAGCAACTTGTAAAGGGGCTGACCAGATTGACAATCAGTCTATGTATTTTATGAAAAAGCGCTGTTTTTAGATAGAGCATGAGACCCATGATATCAGAATCATTACTTCCAATTTCATCTCAAGATTACCACGTTTCTGGACCTTGCGAGTGTTAGCTGAACCGCATGTTTGGACTAGCACGTCTCGTCGTTGATTATTCTTGGAATTGCCTGATTTAAGTTTTGGGTACTTCTGATGGGTGTACCTTTACCTCTTTAGGCCTTCCACTTTATTCGCATGTTTCTAAACCTGGAAATCGTGGACGAGGAATTTAATTACTACAAAAGACATCAAAATCAATGTAAATTTTTATCAGACTGCTGTAGTACGAGGATCTAGATGCAGCATTGAGATTTTCACTTGATGGGTTGACTGGCAACACCATGGTTGGTGTCCTCGTGGCTTGCAATTCTCAAAATGTTAATAATACCACGTGAAGGGAAATTTCATCTGTGATGCGGTGGATCATGGTAATGATGCCAAGGATAGTCCCTTACATGTGTCTACCGTCCAAATCATCTGTCGAATCTGTATCTTGAAGAAGTCTTGCTTCAATCTTTCAAACATGTCATAGTGATCTGAGCTACTATCTCTAGTGCAACCCCCGAAAGGCTCCATGAATGATCCACTGCTATCATTCGCCTTCCCGGGTACCTAAGCTTGGTGACCAACTTTAACCTTTCCGTAGCTTCCATGTGTCGAGGATCGGTGTCAATTTACATTGAGATAAGATAACCCTACGGGTATGTTGCCATCGGAACGATTCCGGCAAAGGGAAACGCGTCAACGAACCCCCACAGAGATAAGAGAAACGCACAGCTCGGAACCGGAAAGCCTTTATTTAGATGATTAGATCGTGTGATGGTGGCGTATCGCCGACGAAAACCACAACTGTTGACACAAAGAAGTCAGGTCTTAGTCCGAGGTCGGGGAGGTCCTCAAGTCAATGAGACCGAGAGCTGTGGGATACCGATATTCACGAGAATAAATGATCTCCAATGTCTTCCATACTTAGCTTCAGTCATGTCCGGTAAGATTTTCGACAATTGACTGCTCTACCTGACAGCCGCAACTGCTCAACCAGACAGATAGTACCCAGCTAGTAAGTGCGCCAAGGACTGAAGCATTCTAGCTAACGAACAGAAATATTGCTTATATAAAGCTCTCGCTCAATGGGCCATGATGTTCTGCATTTTCAAAAAGTCTGGCCGCAAATTTCCTCTCTTTCTTTCAAATCTCGCAACGTACCTGGGAGGCCTGAATAGCAATTAGTGAGTGGGCCCAATTGCATCTTTAAATTGCCAATGGATATCCAGCATGTGTCAGAACCTGCAATTGCATCGCGATCAGTAGTAGGTAAACATGTATCGGCGGCAACTGACAGCTTCGGGACAGGCAGACTTAGCGTATGACATCCAGTTCGAGGGCAACATGGTTAAGTGTAGTCCGAGCTTGGTGATGCACAAGTCATCCGGCATCTAAATGTGATCGTCTACCCCTACGGTGGACCTGAAATAAGGTCTGGCGCACCCAGTTCCCATCGGCCGAATTGAGCGACTCGCCCGGGGTGCATGTCGTGTCCGACAGAACTAGGTTGTTTGTGTGGATTCAATATATTTGATTTCTATAGTGCTCAGGCACAAGGACCAGAAGGTAGGCCAGGTCGATTCCCCTATTCCAAATTTTCAATCGCTTGGACTGCTTGTCATATCTTGTAGAACTTCAGGATTGCGATAGCATGAGCGCTCATTGATGGGAAATAGGTGATATATAGTGTAGACAGCACTTAGATCTCGAAAGGATCAAGTTGAAGAAATTCTGCCTTTTCACACAGCCGCAAGGCCCGCCCTCCGCCTGAAGGCCATCTTAATTTCCATCGTGATCGCTATGCGTCCGACAACCCCTGAAATTCCCACGTGCGCGACAGTGCACGCTTTGATCATCCCCAGGCCCTTTCGCATCCTCAATATCGCCCACATTCAAGCTCACGTCGGTTCGAGAGTGTTCTGCATTTAAGCAGCGGTCTCGACCTTGATGCTGGCCGAGCCGGCGGACTGGTAGCCCTCGGTGGCGACGATCATGTAGTCAAAGGAGGTACCGAGGGTCATGCCGGCGTTCTTCCAGGCGGTGAAGAAGTTCTGGGTGGTGACGGTGCCGCCGACGCGCTTGCTCTCGCGGATGGCCCAGAACTGCTTGAAGGTCTGGGTGCCGTCGATGGACGGGGCGTTGGTACGGGTGCTCTCGTACAGCTTGTAGACGGAACCGTCGGAGGTAACCTGGCCCTTGAGGGTGCCAGTGCTACCGGGGTTGTACTCGCCGTGGTTCTCAACGATGTAGTACTCGATAAGCTGTGAAGAGTTGGGTCAGCGAGTTTGCACATATGCACTCATGTGGTAATGGAGGTTACTTACAGGGTTTCTGGTCCATCCGTAGACGGTCAGGTAGCTGTTGCCGTTGTTGACGGGGGACCAAGTGCCAGAGTACTTGATGCTCTTGGCACCACCAGTCTTCCAGCCCTTTCCACCGACAAAGTTGCCGCCAGACTGCCACTGGATGCTGTAAGCGCCAGCAGCGCCGTTGGTGTAGGTGACGGGGGAAGCGCCATCGGTCCAGAAGCTGTAGAAGTAGCCGTTGCTGGTTCCCTGGGAGGAGGGGGTCGAAGCGCGCTTGATGAGGTCGGTGGTCATGGGCTTGTCGGTGGCGGGGGCGGCGAGAGCGCCGACGACAGCCAAAGAAGCTGTGAAGAGAGAAGTGAATGAAACCATATTGACAGGTGGGTTTTTGATATGTACAAAAAAAGGTCAAGAGAACGAATGTAGCGGTCGGAGTATGAACAGAGAGGCTGGTGAGGCTGAGAGAGGAGGAAAGGAGAGCAGCGTAGGTTGGGCGAGGACGAACTCCGTCCTTTTCAATCTAATTCTTTCTCGATCGTTTATCTGGGCCCAGAGCAGCACCCGATGATGGGATGACAGGGGAAAACGGAGATTCAAGTGCCGTTTCCTATGGGTATTTGGCCATCGGTTGCATGGGAACTGGGGGTTGCTTTCTCGATGGGACCGCCCTGCCCAGAATAAACTAACGTCGACCCACGTGGGTAGCATTCTTGGGACCAGGTGGGAACATCAAGAAGTTGCTCTCTTAGCAGAGCTGCGCGAAGTTTACGAGCTTTTCGGTTTTGGGGTGACAAGAGCCCATGTGTGGTTTACTGGTTCATCACCAACCCCTGGGAAATCTTTCCCAAACGGTCGACGAGTGGCCGGCCGTGATGGACCGATGAGGAACTGTGGGGTTCCGCCAATGGACGTGTCGAGTTTAGGTCAGGAGTCGGATTGAGTGGCCGCATCGTCGGGAGTAAATGAATCAAGCCGGGGCCGATGTTGCATGATCCTTGCTACGCTCTCCGCAATTTACGCAAGGGGCATGCTCCGGCACTGCGGCCGAGAAAGCGGTTCCTCTTTTATTTTCTTGGGAAAAGAGTCTTAGAGGCAAAGAGGCAGCTCGTCCGTCCCCCTATTACACATGATCGTTTGTTTAGCCGGCCATGCCGGTCTCCAGGATGACATTTATCCAGAACAAATGACAGCTAAGATGATCCCAGAAACCATCTTAAAGTCGGACGGGATCTCGAGCATCATCTTTAAAACAAGCTGTTAAGGTTCGGGATGGTGGCACTAGCAGCGGCCCGTGAACGATTCAGCGGCACTTGGGGGGCATTCTGCGTAACTGCTGACCTCGAGGTGGGAATACATCTCTTTACCCGTCGGCTGAAGTCATCTAGTGCTCTCCGGAGCAGAGGAACGGAGGCTGCGAATCTTAGCGTACCAGATTCACTGCATTTTTGAATCTCGCGAACGATTAGCTTCCATGGTGCCAGTGAGGGGAAGAGCATGAACGCCGAGGTTTAGTCGGCCAGCTTATGAGGTCTCTTATGATAGTACCATATTTTCTTGTGCAGTCGGACCCAAGCTTTTGTTCAACCTTGTAATAATCTCGAAACTCGATTCCGGGCCACATGCATTCTAGCCCGCTAAGCAACCACGGGAGTCATGCCGGTACTTTAAAGAGATACCTAAGTTACACTGCTTTTGTCGCCGGATCTGTGCGTTTGAGTTCGACGCCGCAGCGTGAATATTTTTCGTTCTCTCTTACACGATACATTTTCCTGGGCGCGCAGTCCCAACTGACGTCAGTTCTAACTCTGAGCTGTCCCTCACCATATAGCTTCCGGATTAACCACACTCGTCTCTCCAGAGTCCAGAGCGAGCGGAACCCTACGCCATGATGAACTGGTTTGCCTGGCCTCTGCCGATCCCTGATCTACGCCACATTCCAACGTATGGCCGTTCTCGACCAAGCCTCCGAGTTGTCCAACGCCTTGGATCCCCTTTGCCATAATGCCGATTTCCAGTTCGTAGGATGCTTGGTGGGATCAAGCGCTGCCTCCAAGCCACATCCCCAACCAATCGATCCTATGCCACCTTCCAGCCGCTAACACAAGCAAAGCAGCGACGCCAGCGCCAGCACGCCCAGCTCGTTCTTCTTTGCATTAGCGGATGGCAAGCGAAGGACCCTGACTTGCACAACGGGGCGCTCGGCCTGCACAAACCCCGCATTTCGACGCGTCCAGACTTCCCCCCTTTCTGACCAGACCTCCCCCAGAAACGAAAGGGCAGCAAAGACACCAGACGAGACGACGTCAGTGCGAGCTCTGGTGGCACCACCCTTCGCCCATTGGTCACCCTTTGTCGTCCTGTAAGTGAGAGGTGGCTGTCATGCCTCCTCATCAGATCATAAGTCGCACCCTTCAAAATGCGGGGTGCGTCAACCGCCGTCCGTTGCGGGTGAAGCCGTGGGAGCAGCAGAAGTGGCACAACTCAACGTCGCAGGCGGTGAGGAGTTGTGGTGCCAGCCTTCCCTTGACATGCCATCAGCGAGACTCGTCGACGACGACAACGCTTCAGAGCAGACGAGGTTTCCATACTTCCAGTTGTCATCGCGACTCTGACGACAAGATGATGCCGATGTTGTCCATGGGAGGATTGCCGCGGTCCAACTCGTGCAAGACGCACGCAAAGGCGCGGCTCAAGGAAACTCTCACGCCTGATCTGCTTGAGAAGCTCCGCCGGTTCTGGTTCAAGCACCTCAAGACCGATGAGGCCTATATCTTACCCCAGAGGAGCCAGATGGGCCGATGGTTCTACTCCGACGTCGACTTTGACGAGGCTTGCGTGTGCGTTGCTCCTTAGGTCGCAAAGATGAGGATTTTGCTGATGCGCAACCATAGGAAGAAGTTCCGACCTGTCTTGGAGGCCATGAAATCAGCCAAGATCACAACCAGAGACATTCTCACAATTGTGAGGCCATTCACACCCTTGCAGTGGCTCGGCCTTGTCCTCCTCCTGGACCAAGTCCCGCGAAACGTCTACCGGGGCCCAGAGTCGTCGACAGTCTTCAAATTCTTTGACCCTATTGCGCGCGAAATCGCACGTCATGCCATCAACGCTGGCGCCGCGACTCACAACAGGATCAAGTACCGTGTGGCCTACCGCATGTGGTTCTACCTGCCCTTCATGCACTCAGAGGACCTGGCGCTGCACGACTTTGCTGTTGCGCAGTACCAGCAGATGAAGCACGATTTTGAGGAGCTGATGGCTGAAGACGGGGAGGCCGGGAGTGACGACCAGCGCAAGTGCTGGGGCGTGTTGGCGGTGCAGAAAGAGACCGCCAGAGATCTGCTGGAAACGAATTGTGACTTTGAGACGAAGCATCGCGACATTATTGTGCAGTTTGGACGATACCCTCATAGAAACATGGCCATGGGCAGGGAGTCTACTGCGCAGGAGAGCAAATATCTTGAGACGGGTGGCGAGACTTTCAGCGCTGCGAGCTAATCTGGTGGCCCTTTTTTGTACAACACTACTAGCAATCAGCCGTGAATTTTCGACGATGGTATTGGCATTGGGTAGCATTGGTTTCATGGGATAGGAGCAACATGTAATAGCAGCTTTAAGTAATTTGATCAATTCGTGAACTCGTTTCATCAATTCTCAGCCTGCTATTTGTAAATCATTCCCCAAGTGCACAATTAGCCTAGTCAGCTCAGATGTGGAGTTGCATGAAGTATCCAAAAGAGTATGTAGAATCCTTCCCGCTGTGATATCTTGTTTCGCATTGAGAATTTCGAATTACGAACTAGGTAATTAAAATGAGCTCGCTTGCTTTAGAATATCGAGTGGTTAAAGGGAAAAAAAAGAAAAACACATGGCTTGTTGCGGAAGAACTGGAAGTCGACGCATCGTAGGCTAGCCTCACTCTTACCTTGTAACTATCGTGAACCCACCACAAACCTCAAAACACAAACATACAACACCAGGTATTCGCTGGTCGTCACCGACCCAACTACTAATCCGGCCCTCACTGGCTTGTCTGTGGGAGAGCGGACGGGATCCCGAATTTTCCAATGGGTATGGTCGTATGTGGTGGTTGACTGTCGTGAGGTTGCTCATGGTCGACAAAGCCGTTCTCAGCATCGGACCCGAGTACTTCACTAATCTTGTCTCTCGTGTCCAGCTGGTAAACTTTAACGTGACTCGGGCTTGACATTGAGGGGTCTTGCGTTTTGGCTTCGTCACTATCCGTTTTTGAGTTCTTCTACGCATGCTGCCGAGTGCAATGTGTGGCTGTTTCGGAAACATGAAGTCATCCCTCCTTGGTTCAGGGGCCCGGCAAGTGACAATTGCTCTCCCTACGCAGCGGATGCCAGCGAAAATTGGACCAAAGGACCTTCGATCTTGATTAGAACAATTGAGAAATGTCAATTTTCTCGTTATTCGTCATTTGGCTGTCCGAGGCCTTGACGAAACGTGCCTCATGCTGAATTGTGAAAAAAAGCTGTGCATGTTTAAGAATTGCTTTCCCCGAGCTTGAATAGCGTTCAAGATCACTGGCTTAGACGAATAGATCCGTTACTATTTTCTGCGGGTTTTTGAATTTCTACCCTTTGTGATCCAAATATATTCATTGGCGTGGGCTGCTCGCTATACCGCCACCATGTCGAAGAAGTTTGGTCCATCATCAAGGCACCAACTTTGGGAATTGGCTATGCATAGGTAATCACTGAACTTCATGTTGAGCAATTGAGCATCGCTCTGAATTTACATAAAACTTTCGATGAGTATGCGAACTTCACTTCTCTATTCCCCTTTTGCGACGATTATTCATTTTCCGTCACCAATGGCTTTTCACGTATCGACACTGTTGCTTTGTCTTCTTCTGGGCTAATATCCAAATTTCCCTCTCTCGTCTGCCTTCTGCTTCTTGTGCTTATTGGAGACGTCCGTCCATCAAAGATATAGTCCTTCCTAGCTGTTTGCCACAGTGGGGAAAGCGATCCATTTGTCTGCTCGATTGCCGGAAGCGCCAGCATCACCCCATGATTTCCAACATTCGTCCGGTTAGTGCTGTCGGCCAACGTGGCAGAGGGTATGCTCTCGGGGCCTCGACAGTCGCAGGCGCTCATTCGAGTGAACGCCAATAGTTTGTTGAGCACGACGAATTCGACTTTGAGCTTAACGCTGTAGACAAATGGCTTGCACATTGTCTGAATCTCGAATTTGTCGCTGTATTCCAGGATAATCAGACCTGTGTCTAGTATAAAGACAACAGCGAACAGTGAAGCCAAGTGCCGTACCATGTTTGTGACAGCCTTTGGTTTGATTGCGCTCAGCGGCTTGAGGCTTTTGTAGCCTTCGTACAGGAAGAGAGATGCGATTATGGTCTCCTGGATGGTGAAAACGACGAGCTCGACCTTTTCGTATATCTTGAAGGGCATTACGTATTGCTTGGGGCTAGTGTTGGCGAGGAAGAAGATCACCGTCTCCGGGATATGCATCGTGACGGCGTTGAAGATGATCATCGTTAAGATCCAGCGGATCTTCCGTTGGCTGTGAACAACCAGGTGCAACCGCGACCAAAGAACAATGGCCTGGCCTGTGACCATCGAGTACCAAGCTATCGGGATAATGATACTCGATGCGAATATTGCTTTCTGGTAGTAGCCGAAGTACCGTAGAATGAAGGCGATCACGTTGATGTTGATGCCAGTATTAGACACGATCATGCTCCAGAAGTATCTTCCTCGCCGGCGCTTGAACGTCGTGAAAATGGAGAAGAAGGTTTCGATTGTATTGTAGTACGCGGTCGCAGCGAATGCAATCATCACCATCGCCTGGACCTGAGAGACCGAGATGGTGCCCGTCTCTCCGGCCATCTCTCAGTCGAGAAGTCCAACTCGGTAAATCGACGGCGCTAGTAGTAGTTCGTACCTTGGGGAAAGCATTATGCGAGAGGAACACAACCGAGCGGCGGCGGCGGCGGCGTCATCAAGACGGGATGGAAGATGCGATGGCGCACACAGCCTTACTACGTAGGGTAGAATGGATGTCCGCTAGTACTTAAGACGAGCGCCATTCATCTGCCAGCTGCAGACTGCACTCCCATATGCAGGTTCATGACCCCAGGTGCTGCCACAATAAGGTTTGGGAACCACCTCACGAAGAAAGCTTATATGCTGTGTGGGTACTACCGATCCGCGTCGACAGTGAAACCAAAAAGATCGCAGAGCCAGTCAGGGTCTTGTTACTGACTCGTTTGATGCTCCGGCTCTCTAGAGGAGTCGAAGCAGGCGGCGACGGTAAGTTGCGTGTAACCTCCGTACACTACCTGGTCGCCGTGGAATTGGATTATACCGCGAGGTTGCATAAACTCAATATGCTTTTCAGGAAGGTCGAAGCAACTCGCCTTCAACTATTGGTTCCCAAAGACATGGCAAGCTTGATGGGTTGCCCCGTTGCTTCAGGGTCGCCGGGGAAGCGTGGACAAGTGATCGGTCCTAGAGGGTTCACACGGACGAAGACTGTATGTGGTTCGAAGCTGTTCTTTGTGGAGTTCAGATGGCAAACAAGTTTTCCGGGGGGACCGGAAACACCATTGAGATCTGGCCGTTTGAAGCGCAGGATAGGTTCTGCCCACTGACCTCAAAATGAGGACTGCTCTGGTCGAGTCTGACGTCTTTGTCTGCAGATCATTGCAACGTTTTGCTTAGCTTGAGACAGACAGACTTCCTAAAGATATGGACGTGCATTTGTCGACGAAGTGCAGGAAAAAAACCAAATTAACATTCACCAAGTACCTACATATGGCTTTTCCGTTGAGAAAAGGCCGGGACTACTGAGGATATATAAGGCCGATCCGAATGTCTAGACCTTGAAGCAAGGTATTAATCCACTTTCTACAAGAACAAAGAATGATCTAGCTCTGTGTCGACTTGCTTTCAAATGCCTGATTACGTCTTTGAGAACCCTTTCGAGCTGGGTCTGATAGTGCATTTGAATTTTCATCACATAAAAAGAGGACCAAAGTTCTTTCTCCTCTATATACACTGCTGCTTCCACTCAGGCTTGGGGATTTGATTTAACCTACATGTACATTACATGTAGCCTCATGTCTTGACTTTACGTCAAGAACACAGCCTAATAGAGTTATCTCCACGTTGATCGTCAAAAGCTCCAACTGGGACTCGGGCGAGACTTCTGCTCATTGATCCTTCAAATATGGGCAGAAAGTTTCATTATACTTCTATATTGAGGCTTCATGAATCAGTAGTCGTTGATGTGCAAGCATGAATGAGTCGCGAGAGTGGTTATACACGTGCACTCAGCGTAGTGACTAAAATACGTCATGAGAGGAGAACGACTACATGAGAGTTGAGCTTCCTAAATGAGCTAGATGAGGGGATGGATACTAGCTATGTGCTACAACTGCACTCGCGAAATTGACTGGCTCAATTGGGAAAAGTTGACTTCATATCTACGATTTCAAGCTTAATTATTCTGTCCATGAAGAAAGCGACACTTTGCTGGTGACATTATAGCTTTCTTGAGCGAAGTGTAAACTGCGGAAGTTTTCTTCATGTGCTTCGAATATTTGAGGCGTAAGTTGTGACAGTCTCTGTTCAAGTTTGAAGATAAGTATGGGCCTTTAGGACAGACTCACGGATTCTTTGCAGCTTGTTATAAGTCAACATTCAAGTCTTCAAAGGCTGCTATTTAGTAGCAGAATTTGATCAAAACGATTAAAGTAATATCTTGTTTCCTTCTCTTTTGTTCCAGTTCTCTCAACGGCACTACTGATGACACGTCCCTCAGCATACAGGAGCCAGTTCTAGGAGGAGAGGTTTCATATCCAAATGTTCTGCTTAGACATCTGTGATCGATTCTTTTTTTTTCCAAAAAACAAGAATCTCAAGCTCTCCAGGCGAATGAAACCCCTGCAAATCGCGCCATGCCATGTGTTAAATTCGGAACTTCACGGTAATCAATATCAGTAGAAATAGCCACTCAGCGGAGCATTGATCCTTTTTTCTTAATTCTTGACAGCTTTCATACTCAAACGAAGTGGCCTGAGATTCACTCGGATGGATGCATGCTGTATTGACTATTGGTAAGAGAGCATCTACCTTCAAAAACCTGCCTTTTCTGTAGCAATCGACTTAATCAGACTCTTCACCTCATCATCTGACATCTCTTTGACTCCAAGCATAGGGTTGTCGTCTTTGGGCCAAGGGCAAGAGAAGTCCGGCCTGGAGTTCGCATAGCGTATCATGTCGCCAAAAACCTTCATGCTGTGGTTACCCGCCTGGAACTCTTTCAAGGCTCCAGCAAAGACCTGATCCATGTTTGACTTTGACTCAGTCCAAACGTCAGTCCCCAACGCTTCCTTGCACAGGTCCACCATCTGCTTTTGGCTTTTGTTGACAGAATGCACGTAAACAGGCTTGTTTTCAGTCTCCACTGGATGGAGCAAGGCTCCTGAAACGGCTTTGCCAGTTGATTCGAGTGTGGTCCAGACGTGAACATTCTACCCCTCGTTGATGTAGTCAACTTTCTTGTTGTAGATGTCGATGTTCATGAAGCCGGTCCGCAGGTTCCAATCTAGGAACGCTCCGTTGCAGATAACACTCCAAGTCATTCCGGTCTCTTCACACTTCTTCAGTAAGTGCTTGTCGTTCATGTCTTTCTTGAAGAAGACGGGCACCGAGTGGACGTTGCGGTTGTCGAAATCTAGGCTGAAGTCTGATGGAATAAAACGATATACTCGAGCTGCAGCGGCAGCATCTATCAATCTTGTTGGAGTATCGTCGTGAACAAGAGTGCAGTCCACAAAAGCCTGGTGGCCCTGTAGCGCATCTTTAATAGCATCAAAAGAAGTGAAGTCGACGACCTTGACATTTACACCGTCAGGGAAAATGCCCTGTTTACGGACCAAGACAGTCACAACAAATCATGCAAGTAGTGCTTTCAGAGTTGATTTTCCGACATTTCCAGTTGCCTTTAATCATTAGTTACGGGCAATTGGCCTAGACAAAGTTTGGGGCATGAGCTTACTCCTGCGACGGCGACTTTTTGAATTTTAGGCACCATGGTGAAAAGGGTTGGCACTAGTATGAAGTAGTAGAACTTAGATGAGTAGATCAGTCCGAGTTGCTATATCGACGTTGATTTTTGGCGCATCAGTACCGCCCCCGTCTCTGAAGAAGTATTTATGCCGCGCGTGTAATACACAGAATTATGGGGGAGGGCTCGCGCCCATCGAAGTAGGATGTACTGGCGGTCACCCGAGGGAGGCATCAACCGCGTCAGCAACCACGCATTCAAGACGTTAAATGTGAGAAGTCGTGATATCTGAGTCTCGAAGACACCGTTCGCCCACTATGTGTAAGATTGACCATTGGGCCGGATCCCCGGTTTGACAGACGCATCCTCCCGCCCCAAGTCCGAGCACAAGTTGCATAATCTTGTTGTATGTCAAGCAACGTCACTCATTGAACGCACCCACTTCTACCGGGGCAGATCATTCTCGCAGTTCGGTGCATACTTCCATCCGCGTCTGTCTCAGACCGTCCGATCTCAGGCTCGTTGGCCACTTGAACTTCATGTCACGGCAGAGGTTCTGCGGGAAGGGAATCCCGTTCCCTAACGCGGGGATACGTGCGCAGTAGATCAACCTAAGTGCGTAGGACAAGCCTGAGCACTGTCTTGGCATCTGAAAAAGCGTCGAGGATTTCCTAGATGCTTCCTCTTAGCCTATTCGTCATGGTTCAAATACTTATGTCCTGCGGACGCTACATAGGTTAGACGAACTATCGGCAATCTCAACACAAAGCAACCATCACTCCAATTTGTGGCTTCAGAAAGTCAATTGCAAACTGCTGGACTATCGCTATCGACCAATGATCCGTCTAGATATACCAATCAAAATACATCGTGGATACCCCATCTAGTGGGTGTTGGTAACAGAGAAGCCCTTAATGGGGTAGTGGAAGTTGACGTGGTGAGACTCAACCTTGCCGCTGGCAGGAATGTAGACAGACTTGTCTGCGGCTCTGCTCTTTTCCAGACTCTCCCATCCCAGAGCCGCGACGAAGACCTTGCCACCGCCATCAACCTCTTCGGTAGAGAAACCGCTGGCAAAATCGTTGAAGCCATCCATGCCGCGGACCTTCTCGAACTGAGCTCGCATGTCGTCCTCAGACATGGTGGAGCCGCTAATTGTGATAGTCTCGGCGATGGGAGAGTCGATGGCGGCTCTGGGTGCGTACGGGACGAACTTGATGAAGTACGACTTGACTGGGCCGGTCATGACTGTCTTGAATTCCTCCATTGCCTTTGCACACTCAGAAGACGCGAAGAAGCTGTCGCGGGACTCCTTTGACTTCCAGCCTACGTTAAGAATTAGAAGTGTCCTGTTCAGATAGGCACACTGAATGTGGACTTACCAGAAATGAGATCAAGAACCTGCTCGTTCTCGGACCAAGGTCCCCATCGTGTGCGAAGGTAGCCGTCTTGGGTCTTCAGGGCGAGGAGGTAGGTCTTGAGAGGTTCCTTCCAGTCCTCCTTAGTACCCTTAACGGGGATGATCATGCGCTCAGTGACGCCTCCGGCAGGTGGTGCAGACATGTTGATAGTATTTGATTGAGGTGGATCGAGAGTAAAGTTCAAGTTATTTGTTGACGATTGCAGAGGTTTTGTTTGGTTATGTGGATGTAATTGTTGATAATGAATGATGATGATATAAATCTCTGCTGGAGGTGATTGAAGGTTGGTTATATACTCAACAACGCGGGCCCGTGTTCTTCGGAGCTGTTTTCCAATACCCATGGTATTTTCTAGATGCATGACATCGAAGGCGCGAGTCCGACAGTGATCTCACGGCACGACACTGCGGCCCAGCGGCTTTCGGTGGAGTGCCACATCCTATGTCCGTTTTGGGGACTCCCGCGGCTGCCACCACGTCAGGCCATCCACGTCTAGACCATCCACGTCAAAGATCATACTATCCGGAGTCAAAGTTGCGGCTGTATTGCTGTGGGGTTGCCAAATATGGCGATCTTCTGGAAGGAAACATAGCCCTAGGTCCCCGAGCCGCGTCGTTGGCGCCATTGCGAACCCAGGGCCTTAGCTCTTCTGCGATGTTTCCAGTTGCGAGATAGCGCTGTCAAATGGAATGATGGTGTAGGAATACCGAATAAGAGGTTTCAAGCATTCCTTCAAAACTTCAGACGAACTTGACAAGGATAGTCACTTGCCTTATAGGGAGCGGGAGCGGAAGCTCTGCATCTCTTGTGAGACTACTGCAAGTCAGGACACAGACGGTGCAGCATGCGGTTTATGACGTTGGACTGATAGGCGAGTACATACAAGAATCAGCGCTAGACTTCGCAAAGAGAAGCTTGCCGTTTTGGGGTATCCGATGCTTTCGAAACTACACGGCGGACAAAGCGGCGACGAGGTGGGGGATCGACGAAGGACCTCCGCAAAGTCTAAGTTTCATAAACATACAAGGAGGAAACAAGAAACATTTCAACACCCTGGCTGCTTGACTTGGCATGGTCCGCGCTCTTCGGCACTCCCATCCCGTCGGATTCTCGTTGATCGCTTTCGCCCCTCGCTGAAGGCTACGTCGGCTCTCTACCCACCTTGCATCAGATGCTCCGTCAAGCTTGCATGTCCGCCGGCCGTTCGCCTCCTGAAGCTTGAAAATGCCCCAAGAGTGAAACCAGGGGCACCGGTGGCTGGCGTGGCTTCTCGTAGTACTGCGGCATTGATTCCCTTGCTCCGATAGCCCTAGTCCGTTGATCACCCCGACGGTCATCGGAGAAACACTAGTGCCCGGCCCTCCGCAACTACGGACGGCATCAACTCGGCGGGTCTATGTTCACGGACTTATGTACTGCCCGGTGCAATGCGACAAACAGGGGGATTTCAGCCACGTCGACGATGTGCCTCCGATCTCGAGTTGTAGCTGTTGACAATGCCACGGTACCCAAGTGACCGGGCAGAGACGAAGTTTGCATAAGTCATTGTACAAGCTAGATGTAAACCCGTACGCACTTGGAGTTGCAAAGCGATCTCAATTCCTGACAGTATCAGTTGAGTAATCATAACTCACGAACCTTTATCACCGTTTCTAGAACCGTTTCGTTTGACTCGAACATTGTCTGTTGTGGGAACTAAGGTACCCTGCATTGCTGAGAAGGACTTATCTGCACTCATGCGTGACCAAGTAAGGAGTTAATCTTATGGATTGCTTAGGTTCTTAGAGAATTCGAGACTAAGAGTGCTCAATGAAGGACGAACGAAACTTCTACGATCATTAAGCATCAAGGCTTGAGCAACTGATTCCAATTACCTAACGTAAAGTAGGTATATGTGGTTGCCTACTTTAACATATTCTACCTCATATTCCAATAATGTCAAGCAGTGCGACTCTGATTCGTTATACATAGAATCCGAGGAGAAACTCCGAAGGGTTTCAAGCTTCTCCCGCTAACATTACGTTGCCAAATTGCGCCTCATCAACCCGCTTCTTTGCCAACACAGATAGCTATCCAGCAGCTTCGTCACACGGTGCAATATTAGTCTCCTTGAACCTTGGGAGAGAAGTAGGAAGACATGTAGGGCCCAGTCTCGTTATAATTGTACGAGACGTAAGATAATCCACCTGGCTTAGAGTAGTCCCTACCAGGCCTGAAAACCATTAGCTTTTGTCAAATGTTGAGTGTCATGACTTGAGTCAACTTACAGTTTGGAAGTTTCTGTAGTACCACGGTAGAACTTGTCTGCAGACTCGTCCCATCCCAAGTTTCTGAGGGCTTGTGCAAAGTTCTTCATGGTCTGCGCATCGCTGCTTGCAGTCTGGCCCCACGGCAAATGTGCCTTGATATCGATGCGCTCCGCTCCAGGCTTCAGCTCGAATGCAAAACAGATGCCCTTGTGCAGATTCTGCATATCTCTGGTATCCTTCCGTTGATCCGCAGTCATGCCTTGGGGCTCATCCAGGAGCAGATGCCACACCTTCTCCGCGGTCTCTATACCTTTCAAGGTGGCTTCGTCGGTCTGAGCCCCACCAAGTGTGAAGACGTCTGCCAGCACTGACTTTGCGTTTGAGGTTGTCCGAGCATAGACCTTGACGCGCGCCTTGTTGGGGTCGATGCAGTCGACAGCCATCATCTCAACTATGCACGGCTCCTTGCACGTCGCCAAATACTTCTGCAACTTTGCGGCCGATGCGGCGAGCCTGTCTCCACAAGGCTGCAACTTGGGAATCATGTCGAAAACGAGATCTGATGTCGTCGCTCCTGTCGCGAAGTGCTTGAGAACGGGGAAATGATAGGATTTGAGAATACGGTTTGAACGCTTCATGTCGAAGGCGAGGAAGAGTTGCGGGATACGCTTGACGAAGGAGGGCATCGCTTGGCGAGCAGCGACTGCTTCTTGTGGAGTGACGAACCATGCGCTGACGAGTTGCTCGTACCATCGCATATCGACGTCGGAAGAGACCTGTGAGAGTATGGGAACCATGGATCTCCCAATTTCTCCAGCGAAGGGGTCATCGGTAGAACCGGCAGTATCTCCTAGGGGCTCGAAAGTGTAGCGAATTACACCGTCATCACCTTTGGTGAAGTTCCACGATGGCTCAAAGGTAGATCCATCGTAAGTCAATAGCGGCCTCACTTTTGCCTTGGGCGTTGGGATTCCGAACGAAGGTACGACAACATCGCGGAACACGCGCAAGTGGTCTGCTTTCTCTTCCGGTGTATATGACTCTGCGCTGTTGAGCAGGGTGTTGAGTAGTGGTGCGCATTTATCCCACCACCACCGGTGCTTTGGGTTGAGGGGAGGGTCGATAGGTATAGTACCATCGTTGACACTTGAGGAGAAGGCGTTGAACTTTTGAGGAGAACTTAACGGTGCTTCGAGGCTATCCTTTACAGGATTGTAGATGGCTGCTGGTGCCATGCTGAAGTCGAAGGAAGTATGTGCAATGTCAAAATTCAGAGGAATGAGATGGAAATGCCAACTAACCATGCTCAGATAACGCTGACATGCAGGAAGTAGGGCATTCTTTAATCTTTATAGCTTCACCAGAGCCTGTGCATCCTAATTCAACACCGTTCGCCTCATAACTTCCTAACTAGATCTACGTTACACTCTCTCAACCAAGATACTCGTGGACATGAAAATTGGACCGAGGGCCGAAGGCCTCTGTCCCCCAGTTGGACAGGTTTGTCCGTCGTCGTCGTCCTCAAAAGGTCTCCGTCTACTTTCAAGGCGAGGACAAACATTGAGTTTGATCCGGTATCAAGTCACGACAACGTCACTGCAATGCAGTTGTTTGGTGGACTGTCGTCCCTCGGGCAATGCATGGATATGCTGACTACGTACGGGCACTTACTCAGTCCTAGTAACCTTTCATCTTGAAGTTGAACAAGGAGGCTGTGGCCTGCCTGCTGTCAAGCTCAGGTAGCCGGAAGCCGCGTGCTTAGTTAAAACGCGGAGATACTTCGAAACAAACAAGGACAGCCTAGCCGACTAGCCCTACAAAGATCAGGCGAAACCATAAGCTATGGCAGCGTATGATTCACTTCGTCAGCGAAACACTCGAATTCGTGGGTATTCGTATAAAGCAAGTAGAGATGGCTTCCTATCGGCGCCCGTCACTTGTCTACTCAATGTCATTCTGAGAAGCTTGGCCGAGGGCTGAAATCCGAGTTCGGCAACTTAAACACAACTCTAAACATCCCACTTGATCAGACGATGTGGCCGCGGTAGAGATTGCCAAGATTACGAACTCGTCGTACCTTCCGTAACTATCGGCAGTTTGTCATTGCCTTCTCAATGAGACATGTAGTCTTGGGCCTTTTCTGCACTTCACTAGTCAGGTGAGGATGATAATACGGACGTTCCCATCGGACTCTTGGAAGTTTGATTCAATGCCACGCAGCCAGTTTGGGGAATTCCAGGAGAGCCACTCTCATCAGTAACGGGCCTTTTGATGTAGAACATGTTTGATATCGAGCAGCCCAATTGCTACTCCGCGCTTACGGCCCCGCGCGGACTAGATCCGCGGTCATCTGTGGAGGCCGAACTTCCGAAGATCCGTCATGGTATGGATATTGGCAAGAGCTCATCCTAAGCTCTAGAGCTCAGCTGAGTATAAGCTCACAGACGTCATAGACTGGAAGCTCTCGTCAATAAATGAACTCTTCCCCCTCTTCAGGGCAGAGGTTCGCGAACTCAACTGTGTGGTTACGAATGACAACATCATCAAAGACTCTGCCATTTCCAAGATTGACGAAGTAATTCATCGAATCTCCAACGCTGTACTATTATTACAAGGCCACCTATATCATCATGGCACCAGGCGTCACGTCGGCGAACGGGGGGCACGCATCGAACGGTGCGGCGCCAGCTCCTCGGTTTCTACCCCCTGCAGTATCCGTGGAGAAGTTCCAAGAGTTCGCAGCAAGCCTTCAAAAGGCAGTCGGAAAAGACAACCTTCAGATCATTACCAAAGATACCCCTCTGGATGATGGCGACTATCAGACCGTCGATTGCCAGACGCACGACATGCACTCTCTCTACGAACGTGAGGAGTTCGTCGGCAGCGCGCTCATTCACCCCCGAAATGTGACAGACATCCAAGCAGTCATCAAGCTTTGCAACGAGTATCTTGTTCCTGTGTGGACGTACAGCAAAGGTCACAACATCGGCTACGGAGGTGCCGCTCCGAGAGTATCCGGGAGCTTGGTGATGAACCTGGGAAAGCACATGAACCGCATCATTGAGGTCAATGCCACAGACTGCTACTGTCTCGTTGAGCCTGGCGTTACCTACTTGCAGATGCAAAAGTACCTCGATGACAACGGCTTGCGGGACAAGGTGTGGCTGGACTCACCGGAGCTCGGCTATGGCTCCATGATTGGAAACGCACTGGACCATGGTGTGGGCTTCACTCCCTACGGTGATCACTGGATGATGCACTGTGGTATGGAAGTTGTCCTGGCTAGCGGTGAGGTTGTTCGTACGGGTATGGGTGCGATGCAGAGTCCCGAAGGCCGCAAGCAGGCGGCTCAGGGGGTATCCCCCCAGGATCAGCATCAGAACGAGTGTTGGCAACTCTTCCCTTATGGGTTTGGTCCAATTAACGACGGAATCTTCTCCCAAAGCAATAACGCCATAATCACGAAGATGGGCATGTGGGTAAGTTTGAGCTCATGAGAGCAGACCGAATTGGTCACGAGATGAGGCAAAACTGACTGATGGATAGCTCATGCCCGCACCGCCGGGAATCACTCCCTTCATGGTGACATATGAGAAGGATGAAGACCTTGAGGCTGTCGTCGATATTATTCGTCCGCTTCGTGTCGTAGGTTGCTGCCCTGAGACTGTATGAGTAACGCAGCTCACAAAAACTCTACAGAACATGGTTCTCCAGAACGCAGCCAGTCTCCGTCACATCTCGCTCGATGCGTCGCATTACCACCCCCGCACAGCATACACTGATGATCCCAATACCCCGCTCACGGAAGAGCAACTGGATGCTGCGGCGAAGAAGGTCGACCTTGGCCGCTGGGTTTACATTGGTGCGGCCTACGGGCCCGAGCCGATCCGCAAAGCCCATCTCGAAATCACTAAGCGTGAGATGACCAAGGTTCCTGGAAGCCGATGGTTCCTGCTTGAGGATCGTAAAGAAGAGCACAGCACCTTGCACTGCCGTGCTGACACAATGCGAGGCTTGCCGACATGGGATGAGCTCAGGTGGCTCAACCAGTAAGTGTCCAAACGCCCCATTTCAAGGTTGCATCTTTGACCAGTGGACTCAGATGGATCCCTCACTGCACATTCTTGTCGTTCTCGCCAATCTCCAAGGTTGATGGCAAGTCTGCCATGAAGCAGTACACAATGGCTAAGAAACGCTTCGCGGAGGCGAAGTTGGACTATTTTGGTATTCTCAGCATTGGCATGCGTGAGATGCGTAAGTCATCCATCACTCAGCTTGTCGCTCGGTCATTATGAGGCATTGAAGAAGATTGCTGACGCGAGGTTGCACAGACAACATCGTGTGCATCGTTTATAACAGGGAGGATCCTGACATGCGTCGCCGTGCGCAGTGGCTCGTCCGTACCATGATCCAGGATTGCGCTGACAATGGCTGGGGCGAGTTCCGTACTCACGTTGCTCTTATGGATCAGATCGCGGATACGTACGACTTCAACAATCATGCGCTCGGCAAGTTGAACCAGACCATTAAGGATGCATTGGACCCGAATGGCATTCTAGCACCTGGAAAGAGCGGCGTTTGGCCTAAGAGCTACGATAAGTCCAAGTATGTGCTCAACAAAGACTACATCAAATAAGTCATAGTAGGGCCCGAACTACAGTGTTCATCGTCACATCACGTACGCACAGCTTAGCAACTGAGAGTCTCTCTTGACATCAGATTTTCCAAATATCACTGGCTTAACCCTGATTGATGAATAACGTTCAATTGAATAGCCGGTGAGCGTTATGCCACGGAATAACCTCATCCGCGTTGTGAAGAGTCACTGAGGTTATCAAGATGAGCGGTTGGGGAGTGCCAGCAATAGACACCAGGCAAAGCGCGCGAAAACGCGATCTCCCGCCGTTTTTGCGCGGCCCGCTACTTCTATCCTTCATGAGTAGCTACATTAGGTCGGCCTCCAACGAAGTACATCGCTTAATAATCAGCCCTGATGGTCTAGCGGTATGATTCTCCCTTAGGGTCGTCACGACACATCTGGGAGAGGTCCCAGGTTCGAATCCTGGTTAGGGCCTAATTCTTTTGCTTTTGGTCACTATTTGACAGATGCATCTTGTTTTATGTGTTCTCAACGTTTTCGTACGTTAGTTGAGCTCGTGAGGTTCCAAATCATCTAAAAAGTCCCAGCACCTGCCTGGTCTTGTCTCTTTTAGGAGTTGAGGCCTCCCTGGAAACAGCTTTGTGATGATTCGCACTCCCATTAGTAATGATGGTCGGCTTCCAGCATGAAGCGCGATTATCCGTGGCCTCGGTTTCAGATCACCAACAAACATTCTCAGTTCTCAGCATTTCCGGACTCCGGATACGGGCCGTGTCTAGATTGATCAAGTTGAGACGAAAGCTCATGCTGGGGAAGGCCTGCATGGAATCTTCCATGCATCAGCATGATTAGCATCTACATTGGGTGAAGGACTGTTTCGGTATCGGGCAAGGGCCAATAGACTTTCTCTACACCAACTTTCTTGAAAGCTTTGCAAGCAGACTGATCTGACACTGGTCTCAGTGTCGGTTGTCGTTCATGGCCCTCCCCAAGGAAAAATGTCCCTCGCGTGGAAGGACCTTTGGTTGATCTGTCGTCATTTTGAGAGCCAAATTCACGAGACGTAAAAGCAAAAGCGGTTGCGCTCCATGGCCTTACGTACGCCTCTCTGGCTCATAGCACCGTCTTTTAAGTTTCTGTTTTGGGGGTAACTTGGGAAGCTCTTTCATCGACTGATGATCAACCCGCTTACACTATCATTTGACAGACATTGGAACCAAACCGGCTGACAGCATTCTTTTTCGATCTTTAAACCCCAGAGGTTAGAATTGAGGAATAGAAGCAGATCTCAAAATGTCCAGAGAGTCCGCAGACCCGACAGTAGCTCTGGTAACGGGAGCCAACCAGGGCATAGGCTACGAGATTGCCAAGCGGCTGGCCTCGGAACACCCTGATTACCATGTCTTCATGACAGGGCGACGGAAGGAAGCCATCGAAAAGGCAGCTTCCGAGCTCCAGGAAGCCGGTTTGAATGTCGAGCCTCTAGTTCTGGACATCACGTCCGATGACAGCATTAAATCGGCCATCGACACAGTCCGCACAAAATTTGGCCATCTCGACGTCCTCATCAACAATGCTGGAATCCTCTTGGGCAAGCCCGAAGACTCAATTCGGCAAAAGCTCGCGACGGTCTACAACACCAACGTCTTTGGCTCCATCGCCGTCACAGACGCTTTCGTCCCTCTCCTTCGCGAGTCTTCCAAGGTGAAGCGCGTCGTTTTCGTTAGTTCAGGGCTGGGGAGTCTTGCGATTCGGACGGATCCTAGCCTGGGACCTGTGAGGGACTTTATCGAGTATGGTTCCAGCAAGGCCGCGCTCAATCACGCTGCGATGACTTTTGCGTCCAGGTACAGGGACGACAAGATGTGGAAGTTCAATATTTGCTGTCCTGGCTACTGCGCGACAAACATGAACTCTTACGAGGGGCCTGATGAAGCGTCCTTGGGATCGGTTCAGGCGGTGCACTTGGCGACATTGGGACCTGATGGTGCCAGCGCGACGTTTTCGAACCGACATGGGCCAATTCCATGGTAAATTTTTGATGGTTTGGCTAGGCAGTAGGAACGAAGCTGGTAGCTATCTTAATAGTCCAATAATAGTCCCACATCGACATTCTCAATCGCGTGATCGATCAATAAGCCTGACCATAGGAAGTAAGAATGAGTAAGGGAAAGGCTAGGAAATCCATATTATCACAATGAACAAATCAGTGCTTGTAGCGCGATAGATTGTCAGCTGTGTCTAATCACTCACACGTTGTTTGGCGGAGCAACTGTTGTGCTAGCGTGACGTGACTTTGCAGTCGTGAATAGGTCTGAATGTGTCCGGTTTGTGGCTAGGGATCAGCGAGAGGGCGCCAATTGGGCGAATGTCTCCATGTTCCTACAAGGGCGCACCTGTACCAGGTTCCCCGCCCCAAGTAATCTTGCACCTCAAAGAGAAGCACTCTGACCCGATTGCAGCTCAACTGCCTTCATCAATAACCACATTGAACAGATTCACAGTCTTCCTAATGCATGGACAGCCTGTTAGACGACCCTACAAAGGCTCATGCCATTGTGGTGCGACGCAATACATCGTCTTCCTCTCGTTTCCTCACACCTTACCTCCGGCGCGCGTCCCCAGAGCCGAATCGCGAACACATCAAGACTTCTACAGATGCAACTGCACCACATGCCACAAAGCCGGAATCTTTCACATGCGTCTCGCCTCAGCCCCGGATGACTTTCTTCTCTTGAAGCCCCTCGACCCATACAGCGACTTAGGCGACTACACAGTCTATGAGAAAGACCTGCACTTTCTCTTTTGCAAAGGCTGTGGCATGCGATGCTTCACTTTTATGGGAAAGGGCGAGGTGGCGGACGTAGATCTAGCGGCCCTAGGAGTCGGTGCCGGGGCCGACTCCGGATCGGAGAAGAAGGCCCGCAGCAAATACGGGCCGGCGGCTACAGCGACGGCGGGCGAGAAGAGTATGACAAAGGTGTGGAGACCGAAGAAGGAGGGATGGGTGGAGGGCAAGAAGTTCGGAAGCTACTTGAGTGTTAACGGATATTCCGTCGACGCCGGCCAAGAGGGATTCGATCTACGCGAGATAACGGAGAAGAAGTGGGTTGGATATTGCGATTGGCTTGAGTTGCATTCCGAAGGGTCTCAAGGGACTCGACATGATCGTCCCTGGGAAGGCGGCGCATATTGAGCTGGTGAGGTTGGTTCGAAATGGGCCGGTTAGTCAAATCCCGGAGTGATAGGGGAATGAAGCGAATGCGTTGAAGTGGAGTTGAGCTGAATGGCAAGCTGGTTGAAACCTGGCATATCTTGGTTACGCCCGGTAGGAGGGGGCTCATCGGGATATGGATTTCCTCCGCATCCATAAAAGAATTCCGGCCCCTGATACGAGCATCGACTCTAACTTGCTCTCTTCGCTCCTTCGTAGTATTATTTCGTAACAAATCTGCCGATAGCTCTGATATCCAAGATGATTAGCACTATAATAATGCACTATTGACATCCATGCTCGAGTCGTTGTTGTTGTTGTTGTTGTTGTTGTATTTAACGCCGTGGCGGCCGGGCTAGAGCCCTTACCGCAGACCTCCCGAAGGGTATATGGCGTGGAGGGCCGTGAGCCAAGGCTACCTACTCTACAGTACGTCGTCTCTTTACATCGTCCTCCAAATCATGCCTTGTGGCCACTACGCGTTCTGTCTGTCCCCGGTTCCCGCTGGTGCCCCAGTTTCATTCTTTCCCAAATCGTCCCTTGGAATCGGGAGGTTCTTTGTAGTCCGCACTCACATCTACCTAGGTGTGGATGCTGCTACCGCAGACAGATCTTCTGGAAGAAGTCCGTCACGCGGAGAAAGGCCTCGAAGCCTCGTGGGTCGGTGATTAATCTCTTGAAGTAGGCCTCGAGAGATCCCATAGGACCTATGGGCTCGGGCATACTGCGAGAGTGGAGGGTCGGCCACCGTTGCCTCCTCGCCAGCGTTAGTCGACAGTAGACCAGGTGGTCCACGTCTTTCGCCTCTCCACAAGAGCACATCATTAGAGCGTCGTCGTGGTTGAAACGTCGGTGATATTGCTCGAAGTCCCCGTGACCCGATCGTGCCGCCAGCAGGTGATGTAACGTAGCCCGCGGCAAGGCCAGTTCAGGAGGGCTGGACAGAGCTGCCTCAAGCCCCAAGTCCGCGTACCGCGGCCTTCGCTCTTTATACCACCATCTCCTGTGCTGGCTTTGTAATTTTTCCCTTGCAAGCCGCTTGATGCCCGCTAGTGTTGCCATTTGACCCATCCGCGCCGGCAGTGTCGTTCCTTCTTTGGCCAGCCGGTCCGCGGCCTCGTTTCCTTCGATGCCCTGGTGTCCCGGGGACCAGTGCGTCCGTATATCAAATATCCTGGCCGCTTCTTGGATTTCGAGGAACGCGTCTTGTGACGAGTCCGGCGCCTTGCCGCGGATGCCTTGTATAACGCTGGTGTTGTCGATACATATGTGGATTGGATGACCGCGATTGGTGAGCAGAGCCCTTCTGAGGCCGGTTCGCGCCCCTTCGACCTCGGCGTCGAACACTTCTGCTAGTCCGAGTCGGCCGCACCCTTGCGCTATGCGTTTGGAGTCTCGGTAGATGACGAAGCCGTACCCCACGGCTCCGTTCGTCGCCCTGGAGCCGTCCGAGAAGACGATCATATGGCTTTCCGGTACTGTCTTTAGCCAGCGCTCGAAAGCTTTCGCAGCCTCTTCTTTGCATTGAACTACTATCTGATCCTGTGAGCTTGGCAGGTACTGTGATTGGAGGAACGTTGGTCTTCCGCATCTTGGCAGAAGTTCAGCCGTCCGTTGTAGTCTCGTCTGTTGCTGTCCCTGCTGGGAGAGCCGCGCGACTAGCGGGTGTCGGCGATCAATCCTCTGTAGTCGGACTGCGGCCCGTAAACGGACGCCTTCTAAGGCGACTTTGGCTGACGGTAAGCCGGCGTCTCGGAGGAGGCTACTGGTTGGCGTTGTCCTCCAGACAGGTAGAACGATCCTTGCTGCCGCTGTAATGACGCTGTCGATCTTCTGCACGAGCCCCTTCTGGCCTGTGTTGACGGGTCTTCCTTGGAAAGGCGGACTCGTGTCTGTCTCCGCTTGGCGTCTCGAAGCCGGCTTCGTGATACCTGCGTACCATGTTTCGGCGCCGAAGAGCGCGATCGGCAGTACGTAGGAGACGACGGCTTTTCGCACGGCGGCCGCTGGCAGTCCTCTCTTTGTGTTTGTAAGCTGCCTCAGGTGTTGAGCTGCCTTCTTTGCCGCAGCTACTCTTGTGTCGACGTGGTGCCGGAAGGACAGTCTCTTGTCGAACCAGACACCCAGCCAGCGTACAGGATTTGTCGAGGCCTTGACCACCAAATCCCCCGCCCTGACCTCTGGCAGCTCCGCTGGCTGGCTGTGCTTCCTAGTAAAGTGGATGACCTCGCACTTGCTCGGGTCGAAGGAGACCTTGTTCTCCGAGCCCCATCTGAGAATGCCGGCTGCGCTTCGGTTGAGTATTGCGACGTTGCTCTCCAGGAGGGGCTGATGGCCAGAGTGGCGATGTCGTCCGCGTACCCGAATCGCGCGTCCGGGTCGTCTTCAAGGATCTCCGCGATGTAGAGCAGAAAGACGA